CAATAGATCCTGCAGACGTAGCACTCGCCGCCGTTACAGGAACCACCACCTTCGGAGCAGCAGGGTTCGGAGTCTCACAAGCACTGCACTTCATTGCATCCGGGCCATTGTTCACCATACACACTGCGCACTTCCAGCTTCCCTCCTTGGCCGTAAATTTCGAGAATGCCGCAGCGATTTCCTCCTTCGACTTCATTTCAGCGGGCTTGGCCTCCGACGACGCAGGAGCATCCTCATCTTCATCCGAATCAGATTCATCATCACCGAAAATCCAATTCACGTACCAGGCAACAAAATCATTCTCAAAGATCTTTCCATCCTTTTCGAGACTTGCAACAGTGCTGGCGTGCTCTTCCTCGTCATACGTAGATCCCATCGCCTTAAACAATTTCGGGAACAGCTCCGACGCAATAAAGTCATCTCCATCGGATGCAATCGTACGGAAGGTACATCTCGCCTTGTCTTCTTCTTCCTTGCGCTCCTCCTCCTCGTCACTCGACTCACCATCCGACTCAGCAAACTCATTCTCATCATTCTGTCCATACTCGTGCGAGGTGGATTTATTCGGAGACTCAGGCACAGGCACTTCAGCTTTAATCTCTGCGGTTTCACTTGACGTCACCACAACAGCGCGCGTTGGTTTCTTGTCAAACGGCGACGGACTTTTGACGAATTCCACTTCGTTCACCGTAGTGTCAACGAAGGCAAAGTTGACCAAAAGCCCCTCCGTGTTGGTGCAAGAAACAATAGGGACGGGAGGGAATGTGTCTTCATCGACCGGAACGGGCGTAGTCGAGTTCAAATTGATAGCAAAGCCCATTGGGAAAGACTCCTCGTCCTCAGCATTCATGGGCAAACGAGCTTGATACTTCTCCAGCGGCTTCCACAGTTGCCATTCGCCACCGTCGGGATCTGAAACAAGCAACTCAATATCTGCGCTCAACGAGCAGGTAATGAAGAACATTCGCCAGTCCGGTAAGAAAACTGAGAAATACTGGTGCCTCCGTCCCTCCACGTCGAAGAATCCGACAACTTCATCCAGTTCTACGCACTCGCCGTTGTCGAAAATGCAAGCCAGAGCGCTCGTCTCCTCGTTCTCTTCGTCATACTTGTGGTATCCAGCCAGAATCAATTCTTCCTCAGCCCAGTTGACATGATGGGCTTCAAGTTGTTGCTCGGCGCTGGATTCCGGCTGGGCGATAGAGCGAATGAACTGAAGGGATTCTCGCGCGTAGATGGCGATCGTGCCATCCACTAAACCGACTGCGATGTGCTCTCCCGACGGCGACCAGGCAATGGACGACGGGTCGGTCTCTGTGTTAATGGCATCCCTCGATCCTTCCAGCGTACACACTACCACCTGCTTCTCGAGTGTCAAAACTGCAAAGCGCTCGCTTAGGGGGTCTCTGCACCACGCGATCTCCTGTGCTTGCAGCTTGGAAAACGTGTGGAAAGGTGCTGGTGTTGCCTAAATATTAAAATAAAGAGACCATGCCGTCAGTTAGTAATTAACAACTCATAGAGCTTCATACCGCAAGAAATATGAAGCCATACCGCTTCTACAACGTGTGCGACTTCAAAGAGCGCGATGGAGTCTCCGTAGGCCACTGCGAGCGTGAACTCGTCCGGAGACAGCGCGATCCAGTAGGCGATGGACGGCAGTTGCACTTCCTTGGTCGCTGGCAGCTCGTGGATCTCCTCCAGTGTGAGCTTCTGTCCGTGGTCCACAGCCTCCTGTCGTCGCTTGGTGTAGTCGGTGCATGAAGCCTCCAGCGCATCGTTCTTGGCCATTACAAAACCTGCAGCAGAGGTATTAGATATGAAGGACCTCGATGGTAGCCTGGGTTGATTTACCTTTCTCGGTTGCTACGAAACTCAGGCCGAAAGCGTTGCCGTGCTGCAGCAGTTGCGTCTTCTTAGAGACCACCGAGGCGAAGCTGCTCGACGTCAGCGGCGACGAGTACTTGACGCGCTGTCTGCCGGCATCCAGCATGCGCACATGCTCCGTGTCCAGCTCCGCCATCGTCGTGCGTCAAGTGCTTTTGGCTGGTCCACGAAATCTACTTACTTTCCCAAAAAGTATTTTTCTATCGAAAAAGCACTTTGTTTTATTTTTTTGGCCAAATACTGGATAAATACCGTAGAGCACTTGATCTACGGTAATGCATACCTTTCGATACCAGTAATGACACATTGTTGTTGGATGGCATTCAGACGAAAAAAAACCATTATCTTTTTGATAATGGATTGTTTTAGTCTGAATGCCATCCAACGGTATGGTTTATTTGGGTTATTCGGAACCCAACTCAAAATAGTCCAATGTTGGGTCGTTATAAAAAAAGCTTGGATGGCATCCGAGCCAATCAACATACGTCACGACAAGATTTTGGAACTATGTTAAAAAGCCAACCAAGCCTTTATTATTACGACCCATACTTGACTTTTTTGAGTTTAGTTCCGAATAACCCAAATAAACCGTGCCGTTGGATGGCATTCAGACGAAAAAAACCCATTAAAATTTTAATAGTTTTTTTTCGTCTGAATGCCATCCAACGGCAAGTTTTATACTTTTTTTGATACCGTAGCAAAACCGGTTCTTCGATTGCGACCTTTCGTGAAGATCGACGCGGAAAATGGCCACGGCGATGGAAGTGCAGGAGGACAGTCTAGGCGAACCTGATGTGAAGGTGGCCATACAGAATGAATATGCATGCACTTATGCGTTTATAATGATGACCCGTTGCTCATCTCACCCGTCAGGTCATTCTGCTCGGTGATTCGGCCGTCGGCAAGTCCAAACTGGTCGAGCGCTTTATGATGAACGAGTACCAGCCGCGACAGGTCAGTGTACATTTACTGCTACATACAGAGTGTTGCCTGGTATTAACAAGCTCTCGCTCTGCAGCTGTCAACATTTGCGTTGACGCTGTTCCGGAAAGAGGTGGAGCTGGATAGCGAGAACGGGAAGCGCACTGTGAAAGTCGGCGAGTAGTGATCTTGAGCGATAGTGTTGTTCAAGTGAACACTGTGCTGACGCTTGTGTATCGCTCATAGATTTCTGGGACACAGCTGGACAGGAGCGATTTTCTAGTATGCATCCGTCCTACTACTATGGAGCGACAGCCTGCATCCTGGTGCGTTAAGTAACTCTTTCATGCTTGAATTTGTCACGGAGAGTGTCCTGCTCGCTGCTTGTAGGTCTTCGACGTCACGCGGAAGGTGACGTACCAGAACTTAGCTAACTGGTACAAAGAACTTCGCGAGTACTGTGAGAACATCCCGTGCTTCCTGGTCGCCAACAAAATCGACGTCGACATGAACGTTAGTGGATACCGTCGCGGAGTACTCTTTACTGATATGACGCACTCACACAATTCTTGTGTCGGTGGTTTACCACGTCAGGTGACCAGCAAAAAGTTCAAATTTGCCGAGACGCACAATCTCGAGTTCAGCTTTGTTTCTGCTGCGGACGGCACGAATGTGGTCAAAGTATTCAAAGAAGCTGTTCAAGCAGCCTGCAAATTCAAGCAGGAGGGCGGCGATTTCATGTCAGACGTACTTGACCTCCTTGGAGAGAAATAAAGTACGTTCCTTTATCTAGGGACACGGTTCGGGGGGTGGAAGAGGTTCTGTTTCGAACTGACACCTTGCACATGCTGTTTTCAAGCAGACTGACCTCGCCTAACAAACTTTGCCTAACAAACCTTGCAAGATTTTAACTCAAGTTTTCAACACATTTCATCAGGCACAGAGCGAGAATCATGCCGATAGAATATCGTTAACCACCAGCGAGGCGATTGTGTTTCTCTGCAACTATCAGCATTGCCAACATCTATACGCTATGATCCATGAGTGCTCCAATGCCCCATCCTGACGCCAAGTATACTGCAATTGAAAGTTTACATCAGCAACAATTGTGCATCACAGAAACCTGCGGGAAGTGCTATGCCACTAACTATACTCTAAGCTAGAGAACAGCACGAAACGCTGAAACCTGTGCATCCACTGGAAGGGGATGGCCACCATTGTTCTTGCTGACTATCTTGGAGGAAGCAGTCTGTAGATTCATATATAACACACTCATCACTTCTGTAAGTGTAGCTTACCACGTCATTCGTCTCAATTCAGCTCTAATGCCATCAACTTTCCCATTTTGATCTCACTCATTGCCAATCCACAGAAGTTGATGGTAATGAAAACAGCTCGTACGATTCTTTGAAAATGCTTCTGATCTTGCTATTTGATTTTCTCTAATGTCGAATCCATCTTCTTTCACTTCAATTCAGTACCAGAACATGAACTTCTGGCAGAAGGCTTCGTCACCGCCAAACTCAATCAGTTTTGCAGGCAGTCGAAGATATCGTTCGCGACCTGGAAGCATATCGAGCTAATATCCCAGCATTCCAACAAGATCGGTCCTCAGACTGACTTAGCTTACTCTTCCATTGACGCGTCGGCGATCAAGTACGGCTGCTGAGCAACCAATGCAGCAGTTATTTGACGGCTTGGAGGGTCCACACCACATCCGCTGGCGGTGGCTTCTTGCAGCATTGCTTCTGCAAGATTTCGAGAAATCAAACTTTCGATGCGTTCTTTCAGTTGTTTGTTCGAGCCCGAGTCGTAAAACGCTTGACGGTCAAACGAACGGTCCAGTTGCTGCAAATAAGCCATAAGCGAGTACAGGTGTCGCGATGCAAACACGGTCGGAGATTCCTTGAGAAAACGCTCAGCTTGTCGTAAAACTTCAGATCGCAGCACCTTAGGGGCTTCCGTCGAGCTGAATAACCAGTCCAGACGCTTAGCAGCTTCCACGGACACGAACCGAACCTTACTTTCAAGAGCCATGCGCTTGTCCTTGTTTCTCAAGATTTCATCCGTCTTCAGCTGTTGCCGCAAAGACTCCAGGTCATCCAGTACCAGTTGGAAATCACGGTATTTCACCAACCACGCCAACTTCTGAGGACGTGTCAACTCCGAGTGAGACTCCATAAATTGTACGGCCTCATGCAAAGGAGTGAGCGACTTAGTGTCGTTGCATTCCTGCAAAATGCCATCACATAGAGCATCCACGTCGTCCAGGTGGTTGTCACGCAGCATCCAGTGAAGCGCTGACGCGTAAGCCTTCTTCGCTTTGCATTCTTGTGCTCTCTGGAGTGTAATGTGTTTCTGAGTTTGTGCCAGGAATTTTTTGCCATGACAGTACGCCAGAAGACGCTCCATCTTGTAATCCGTCGGCAAAGGTTCACGTGCCAACGCAGATCGAATCGCAATCGCACCGAACTTAGGACAATACTCATAGTATCGCACAGCAAACTGCCACATGCCACTACTGGCACCGATTTCCATCGCATATTGCAACAAAAAACGCTCTCGTAACGTACAGTCCGCATCGGGCAAAAACTCGTCGGTCAAAATCACGTTACTTCTCTGCAATAGATCAGCCAGATGCGCTGCCATCCACGAGAAGCCCAGTGCAATGATGTCCTGCAGTGCACTCTGAATGTCGTACTGCATAATAGCCAGGATAATGCAATCAAAATTGCCCATACTCTTCTCGTCCTTGTTGTAAACACAGAAGCAGTTGGCCATCAGAAACTCGAAGCGGTGCGCGATGGCCTTAGGTTCGTCCAAGAACAGTCTGGCCATCATCAGCTCGTACCAAGTGGAAGCATGGCTCTTCAGCACGTCTTCCTTGGCTGCCATAGTCTCCAGAAGTGTCGTAAACCCTGCGTTTGCCTTGATATATCCGTCTGTGTTGAGTAAATACTGACACGCATCGTTCCAGGTCTTCCACTCCGCTGGTCCGTCGTGTCCCATGGTTCTATTCGAGTTTCCAGCTCTTCCGGGCATCGTCAACAGCAGATTCTGCACTGCTTGAAACGCCGCTTTGGTCGACGCTCCAGTGAGCGACATGGTGTCACGAGAAAACAGCGACTTGTAGCTCGAATGTGAGGCTAATATACTCCAGGCACTGGGGCCGTCTCCCGTCATTACCAGGGACTGGATCGTGCTCCAGAAGGCTGGGTCTTGTTCAGGCTTCTGTTGCTTCTTCAGCCTCTCACTCTCAGCCTCTGTCTTCTCCAGCAACGTGCTGCAATAATGTTCCTGTAGCCACAACGCAAGCTCATAAGCGAGTGTTCTGTCGGCTCCTCTAGCTCCACCGCGGAGCAGCAGCAGCTCACACAGGTGCCAGATGGCTAGCGACACCTTCAGTAGGTCTAGGAACTCTCCTTCTTCTTCGGTATTGACGTTCGTATCCTTGTTTGCCTCCAGACGGTCTTCCAGAGCGAAGATGCACGTCTTCAGAGCTTCGCGGTATTCGCGACTGGCACGCGTGACGCCGAATGCGCCCAGCTGCGTCTTCTTTTGTGTACGTGTAAACACGTCGAAGGAGGCGGCCACTAGAGTGCGCAGCTCGCGAGGCATGGCGTCGCCAAACTCGCGGGATGAGGTCGAGGCAGCCACCCACTTACGCGAACTCTTACCCCATGCAGCGCCCGCCGTGGACCTCGCAGCTGCTGCATCCGTCGAGCGCTTGCCGAAGACCAACTCCTTCTCCACCACCGGCAACTGGCGCGTCGAGCGCAGGATCTCGAAGGCACTGGAAGTCATCGCCATTTTCGCCCTACTGCTCTCTGGTTGGCTGGCAAAGTGCTTTATGACTGGGTTTAATGTATTATAATGTCCACAATATGGGTTCAATATACTTCGTTAATAGGTTAATTGAAAAGCCCAATTGGGTTAATTTGATGAGCAATTGATGAAGCGTGAGCATGAACTCGGTGCGGCTGCTAGTGCTCGGGAATGGCGCGGCAGGAGCCGAGAAGCAGGCGCTGGCGCTTGGTTCGAGGCTGCGAAAGAAGCTCCTGGACAAGCACGCTCCAGGTCTGGCCTGCTCGCCCGTGGAGTGCGTTCGTGTGACGCTGAGAAGATCACACGTAATTCCACCGGTGCTGCAGATTTTCGGTGCTAAACTCACTCGCAATTCACTGTTCGGCTACAAAGAGCAAGACACGAGTCGACTGTTCCCTATGCAGAAGGATACGAACAGGTTAGACGTGGTTATCGGCTGTGGGAGAAGCACAGTGGCGCTCTGTGCGGCGATGAAGCTGATGAACCCGAAAAGAACGTTCAACGTGCAGATCCAACACCCACGAGTGCCGCTCACGTGGTTCGACGCTGTAGTGGCACCCAAACACGACTTTCCTAGAGGAAAAGGCAGTGCAAATAACCTGTTCCTGACGTCTGGTACGGTGCACAACATCCCGCCGAAGTTACTGCAGCAACACGGCTGTGAATGGAGCGATGAGTTTGATGAGAAGCTCCAAAAGCGACGAACGCGCGTCGTGTGGCTGCTGGGTGGACCATGTCGTGGCTTTGGATTCACTGAGCAGGACGCGGAGGAGATGGCGGATGAGTTTATCCGAGCGCTTCCAGGTGGTGATGATGTTGCAGTGTTAGTGACATTCTCACGGCGAACACCTCCAAACGTGCAGAGTGTTATTCGTCGTTGTCTAAAAGCTAGGTTTCCGGTGCCGGGGCAATTGCTCGTGTGGGATAGCACTGAAGATCGGAATCCGTACTATGCCCTGTTGTCCACGGCGTCCTGCGTCGTTACCACGCCAGACTCGATTTCCATGACAACGGAGGCCATCGCATCGGGCAAGCCGGTATTCACGATTGGTGTGGAGAACTGCAAGGTAACTCCTGCTAACGTTGATCTACAGTTCTCGTTCTTCTGGCACTAATATCTTTCGTGTCGTTTGAAATACTACTGAAGGGTAAATTCCTGCGCTTCCACAAGTCCTTGTTCGAGTCCAATGCCACAGCTCCATTCACAGGTGATGCTGTAGCATCAGCCCTTCGTGACATTCATGAACATTATGCATCCTCGGGTGCTGCTGCTTTAGAGACAGAGATCTCCACAATCATAGAAACTATAGCCACAGACATTCACACGGCGTTGAAGCAAATAGGCACTAACTCATAATAGACGCATGGATTCAAAGCAGATTTCATTCAGTATTCCTGACATCTACCTCAGTTTGAAATGCATTGAAGTGATCGAACAGCTTCTGGGTAGCGCAACTGGTCGGTTGTTTCCACATTTCTCATAGGTAAAAGTGTCGATCCGGAAAAGATTGATATGCAAGTGCTGGATTGGTAACTTGACCTTAACAGCGTCGAAATGAATAGCCGAAGCGTTACTCGTCGTCGCTGTCGTCCTCGCTCTCCTCTTCAGCGTTCTCCAGCCACTCAATGAAGGGCTGCAGCAGAGCCTTCAGCTTAGCAGCAAGCTCGTCCGTGACGGCCCAGTGAGCGTACTCCTTGCGAACGCCGTTGTTGGCCCACGCAACCAGACACTCCTCCTCGAGCAGGTCCTCATCGTACAACAGCTTCAGAAGAATCGGGTACGAGCTCAGCAGCTCCGGGTGCTCCACAGCGCAGAAGTGTTCGGCTAGTGCAAGCAGCTGGTACTGCGAGTGCTGGCCGTCAATGATCTTCTCAAGCACAGGAGCGTACTTGGCCACCTGATTGCTCGCCAGCACCTGCTCCGTGAACGCAGAGCGGAAGAAGATCACAAGACGGTCCGTGACAGGCAGAGCCGAGTACGTCTGCTGGCGACACAGCTCCTCAAAGATCTCGGTCTCCGAGTGGCTCTCGGACAAGAAACGCTGCAGGTTAGACACAGCCGAGTCCAGGGCGTTCTCGTCATCCACCTGGAGGTTGTCCAGCGTAGCGACGACCTCCTCAGTCGCCGTACTCTGCATAGCAGCAGCAGCAGCGGCCTCGATGGCTTCAGCTTCAGCGGCACGGGCCGCCACAGCCTCAGCAGACAAGTCCGTGTGCCACACCACCTCGTCATCTTCAGCGTCGGACGCGTCCTTATCGGAGTGTTTGTCCTTGTGGTGTTTCTTCTTCTTGTCCTTCTTGTCCTTCTTGTCCTTCTTCTCTTTCTTGTCCTTTTTCTCCTTCTTTTCCTTCTTCTTAGTAGCCGACTCGTCCTCGGGCTCGTCATGCGACGACTTCTTGTCTTTCTTCTCCTTCTTCTCCTTCTTGTCCTTCTTCTTCTTATCGTCCTTACTACTACGTTTAGCAGCAGTGTGCTCCTTAAAGATGAAGGTCGTGAGCTTGTGGTTCATGTCCACAGGCTCCACAGCGCCACAGGCGTAGCACTTGTGGAAGATCAGCTGACCCTTGAACTTGTACTTAGTCTCTGGAAGACGACAACCAGGGCACAACACGAAGCCCTCAATGTACTTGGACAAATGCTGCTGCATCATACCAGCATCGAATGCTCCGTTCACAATGGCTCGATCCGTCTTCTCGTCGTACTTGGACTGGGCTCCAAGCTCACAGCCGAAGAACTTGCACACCTCGGCGGTGGAACGGTGAAGCGACGTTGCAATGTCCGCACAGTTAACGACCAGAGTCTTGATACCGTTGCCACGGCCTTCGATCTTGGCTTGAAGTCGCGGCATCTTGTAGCGGTACTCGGGGTCGTCGACCGGCTGCGTTCCTGCAATGTTCATGAGCGACATCTTGGTCTACTGGGTCTTAAATTTGAGGGAGTTGCGGATTAGCTAAAGAAGAGCGTTTGGTCCTGTATCGTGAGCGAGATCACGTGCTCGGCTGAAGATGATGGAGAGGAATGGTGGCGGAGGGGATGATCCGGGGGATGACGCACAGCTTCCTGTCTCTTTCGTTTCCAGGTCGACGCACTACTCGAATCAATTTGGTCGCACGGGATTTGCAAACGCATGCACTGAAGCCAGGTCGTGAGGGTCGCCGGGCGTGGAAGGAGAGCAGACTTCGAGCTGTCGGGGAGGACGGTCGAGGCAGGCGTGGAGGACGCGCGGAAAGGGCGGTCTTCGGGGGTTGTAGTCGTCGACGCTTGCGGGCCAACGATGTCGAATGGGAACTGACGCGGAAAACTAACTCCACGAATGGCGCGCCCCTCTCCCGAAGAAACCAACGGTAACGCCACACGAGTGGCTGAAATTAGATTAAAAGTGGAATACTATTGGTTGAAAAGGAAAATGAATCAAACAGTATGTTGCAATCAGCCTTACTGAAAGCAAGGTTATCAGCATGTGGTTGATTTCTCGTCTTTTGATTCGTCAAAAAGAAAGAGAAAAAGATGATTCGTTACTTTTGATGGGTGTGGTCACATCAGTGATGTGTACGGAACATAAATTATTGACTTGATCAAAGTATTGGCCAAGTTGAAGCTGATCACAGAGCCTGGGCATTTACATTGCAATCCAACAAAATTGACGCTCGTTGTTTATATCTTTACGCTACCACGTCAAACGGATGGGGGTCTATATCTACCAGCTTAAGGCATGGAGTCGTCAGGGCGCTTGATGATCACCGTCTTGTTCTCAAGGTAGTTGCGCAGACCCAGCTCGCCCTGCTCACGGCCGATGCCCGAGTTCTTGAAGCCTCCGAACGGCGTGTTGGGCTCAATCACCGTGTAGCAGTTCACGTACACGGTGCCGGCACGGACACCGTTGGAGATCTTGATGGCGTTGTCCAAGTTGGACGTAACAACACCGGCACCCAGGCCGAATTCCGAGTTGTTAGCACGTTCAATGACCTCGTCAATGGTCTTAAACTTGATGATCGACATAACGGGGCCAAAGATTTCCTCACGGGCGATAGCCATGTCCTCCGTCACATCGGCAAACACCGTCGGCTCAATGTAGAAGCCTTTGTCGCCCCAGCGCTTGCCACCGCAAACCAGACGAGCGCCGTCCTTCTTGCCAGATTCAATGTAACCCAAGATCTTGTTGAACTGGTTGGCATCAACCTGCGGGCCGTGCTGAACGGACAAGTCGAACGGGTCGCCAATCTTCATGGACGAGGCGGCCTCACCCGAACGACGCACAAACTCATCGTAAATTCCCTCCTGCACGTAGACGCGGCTACCGGAGATACACACCTGTCCGGCGTTGAGGAACAGGCCAATCTGTGACTGCTGGATGGCGGCGTCGATGTCGGCGTCGTCCAGAATAATGTTGGCGGACTTACCGCCGAGCTCAAGAGTGATACGCTTGAGGTTGTCCACGTGTGACGTGCGCATGATATTCATGCCCGTCTCGGTGGATCCCGTGAATGCGATCTTGTCCACCTTCGGGTGCTGCGCGAGGTGGGCGCCAACGGAGGCACCGCCGCCCGTCACAACGTTCACCACACCTTCAGGGAAGCCAGCCTCGACGATGAGCTCACAGACACGCAGAGCCGTCAGCGAAGTCTGTTCGGCAGGTTTAAGTACCACCGTGTTACCGGTAGTAAGCGCGGGTCCAAGCTTCCAGGACATCATGATTAACGGGAAGTTCCACGGGATAATTTGGCCGCAAACCCCCACTGGCTCCTGCTTAGTGTAGCATAAGTAGTTACCCGGGATGGGGATTGTGCTGCCGTGCACCTTGTCGGCCCAACCGGCGTAGTAACGGAGCACGTTGATACACGCCTGCACGTCCAGGACGCGAGTCAAGAAGCGCGGCTTGCCAGAGTCCAGCGCCTCAAGCTCGGCCAGCTCGTCACCGTTCTGCTCAATGAGGTCCGCAAGGCGGTTGAGCAGACGCCCACGCTCGGCAGCGTCAATGGTGCGCCACGGGCCATTGAAAGCAGCACGAGCAGCCTCCACAGCGGCGTCGACATCGGCAGTGGTGGCCTCAGC